CCACTCAAGTTCTTTGTTTATTTGTACCTGTGAATTCTTAATGCAGAAATATTTAGATCTATTTTCCTTTGCACCTACCACTGCATCTTCTACCTGGCCAAGGTAATGCCTGAAAAAATGACAGTTAAACTGTAAGGAGTCTTGCAGATCTTCATTGAAGCTGAGGTTTGATCTCCTACTCATTATGCACTATGAGGTAAACTAACCTTACCAGGCCTCAGTTTCCAAATCTGCTAAGGATTAGATGAGTAAATGGATGCAAAGTGTTTTACAGAGTGCCTGACACAAAGCAGATGTTCAATAAGTGTTAGCATTTTCTATTTATTCATTTTTTCATATCCATATTGACAATTCACAATGTCAGTTGTCTGGTTATGGAAAGAAGTGTGATCCTGGAACTTTCCAATCTGCATCATTCAATCTCCTTTCTACAAAAATAAGAAAGGTCTTCAGATTCAGAACAGTCTTGCTCCTGCCTGGTACAGAACCTGCCTTTACTGACACCTGTTTTCTTCTTTCTTCTTTTTCTGTTCCTTTTCCTTTAGTTCTATTCTATATTTAAGCTCTTGATCACCTTCTGTGAGACTGAATAAAGAATGTGTATTGTAAGCAGTTGGGAGAGGTCAGAAATGACCCAAGTTGGTCAGTTCTAGGCCCCAAGAAATCACAGTTCTAGAAGGGAGTCAGGCATGCACAGAACAAGCTTTAAGGCCAAATGTGGTATATTAAATATTGGTACAGAGGGGAGGCTACTGACCTGCTTGGAGTCTTATAGGAAGAGTTCTTTACTGTACTGCCCTAGGAAATGTAAGACTCCTTCCTAGAGTGCTATCACTATGTTGCACACCTATTCAGCATCTTTGTGACCTTCACATATCTATGACTTTCATGTCACAATTTCTACAAGAAAGGACTTTGAGAGCAAGCTCTGCATTGCTGAGTTAGGAGTTGGAGAGGAAGAAGGAAGAAAAAATAATGTTGTGTTCCTGAACTTAAACTTCCAAAGACAGTTGCCTTATAAACATGAAATATTTCTGCCAGACAAAAGTCTGCACCATCTGGGTTTCTAGACTTCCATCCACTATGAGGTAATGAGGGTCCTGGTATGGCACTCTAGAATAGGTGCTGAACTGCTAACTGCACAGTTGGGAGTGCCAACCCACCCAGAAAATTATGAGTTGGAACTGACTCAATACCACACAACAACAACAATAACAATGTTATAATGAACATGAACAAACTCAAAAACATCCAACTGATAGGGGAATAGACAATCTAATCACTCCAACAAGACACTGGCTATGGTTTGCTTTTAATAATTGAGTGGTGGTGGTGCTTATGTGCCGTGGAGTGGGTTTCAACCCTGTACAGGATTTCCAAGGCTGTAAATCTTTACAGAAGCAGAAAGCCTCATCTTTCTCCCTCGGAACAGCTGGTAGTTTCGAACTTCTGACCTTGTGGTTTGCAGCCCAATTCATAACCACTACTCTACCAGAGCTCCTTAATAATTGAGTACATACTGTACGTAATGTGTGAGTTCTGCCATAATAAAAATGTGAGTAAGTATAATTGTTGTTGTTATTGTTAAGTGCCATCTAGTCAATTCCAACTCCTAGTACCCCTGTATAGGGTTTCCAAGGAGTGGCTGGTGGGTTTGAATCACTAACTTTATGGTTAGCACTCCAGTGTTATCCTACAGTGCCACACTGGCCTCCAGTGAGTACAATGCGAGAGGATTAATAATGTCACTGTGAGTGAGTTGAACCATAGACATGGTTGTGTAGAGTCTATGAGTATGTGTGTAGGAGTATTGCACAAGTGAACAAATTGGTGTGCACACCTAAATATGTAAGGGTATGTAAATGTTTCATATATGCCAATGTAGACTGATATTATGAACATGATAAGACATATATATTCACATGTAAGTTAAGAGGAAATATATGAGAATGTTTGTACACAAGAGGGTAAGATTGTGAGAAACATAGAGACTTAGTGAATGTTTTGTTAGGTATCAATGACAGTTGTAAAGGTTCATGAATTGCCTATGTGAACAGTGGGAACTTTGTGAATATGTATGTAAAGGTGGGAAAGTTTATATTTGGAATAATGCCTGCTCATTGACTGAATGTTAGGACACAGAATATTTAGAAAATAACTCACTATATTTTTTCAAAAATATGAACAGCCTTGTATGTTTGCAAAATCATATGGTGTGTTTGTTAAATTTGTTGCAGCAACTTGGGTAACCAATACTGACGTCCAGAGCAGTCACTTACTACTATATCCCACTATCACTGCCCCTCTCTCTCCCTGATCAAACACACATTGTAATACAAACTAGCTCTGGGAGGGGAGTGATCCCATTTATTAGTGACATTTGAATTTAACAAAATTTCAAGGAAATACATAAGTGTATGTCAAGAGCTACTTATATCTCAAATTTCTGTTGTTCTTTTGTAATATCTACCTGTGAATTATAGTTAATATATTTCTATTGAACTATACATCTAGAATACATATTAAAATATGAATAATACCATTCATAATTTTCCCTTTAACTAACTGATGCTTTTGAAATATTTGGTAATGTCTTCCTTCTTCTATAAAGCAAAAGAAAATCTTAGTCCAGCTTGTGGCCTAATAATCATAAAATATGAGGAAAAGAAGTTTGCCTACATTTTCCTAAAACCGGTGAATTCATGAATGCATTAATTTTCAACTGTATAGATGTCCTTTGTTGTTTATCTTACTCCCTGGTTTCTTCTCCTCTAGAAAGTGCAAGTCTCTGAATTCTCCAAGTTTCCATGCTTCAGAAATCTCCAAGGATAGTTCCAGAAGTCCCCAAGCCAAGTCAAACAGTCTGACTTTGAAAAGTGCCCTGGCTGCTTCCCACCATGGGGGTGTTCAATGTCACTCGTCCTGCATCCTTCCTCCTGACTGGCATCCCTGGTCTGGAGAACTCTCACTCCTGGCTGGCAGGGCCCCTCTGTGTTATGTACGCTGTGGCTCTCGGGGGCAACATAGTGATCCTGCATGCAGTGAGAGTAGAGCCCAGTTTGCATGCACCTATGTACTATTTCCTATCTATGCTGTCCTTTAGTGATGTGGCCATGTCAATGGCTACGCTGCCCACTGTATTCAGAACTTTCTGCCTTGATGCCCGCAGCATTGCTTTTGATGTTTGCCTAGTCCAGATGTTTCTCATCCACTCCTTCTCCATGATGGAGTCTGGTATTCTCCTGGCTATGAGCTTTGACAGATATGTAGCTATTTGTAATCCCTTGCGCTATGCCACTGTACTCACCAATGAAATCATTGCTGGGATGGGCTTCGCGATGACTGCCAGGAGTTTTATCACCCTCTTCCCTCTCCCCTTCCTCATCAAGAGACTGCCTATCTGCAAATCCAATGTTCTTTCCCACTCCTACTGCCTGCACCCAGACATGATGAAGCTAGCTTGTGCTGACATCACCATCAACAGCATCTATGGGCTCTTTGTTCTTATATCCACTTTTGGCATGGACCTGCTTTTTATCTTCCTCTCCTATGTGCTCATTCTACGCTCTGTTATGGCCATTGCTTCCCGTGAAGAACGTCTCAAAGCTCTTAACACATGTGTGTCACATATTTTGGCTGTACTTGCATTTTATGTGCCAATGATTGGGGTTTCCACAGTGCACCGTTTTGGTAAACATGCCCCACGATATGTCCATGTTCTCATGTCCAATGTATATCTCTTTGTGCCTCCTGTGCTCAACCCTCTCATCTATAGTGCCAAGACAAAGGAAATCCGCCGTGCCATTATCCGCATGTTTCACCGTATCAAGATGTGACTTTCCAATTTAGTTTTAAGGTCTGCTCTTCATTGTGGATATAGGGTATTATCAGTGGCATCATCATCATCATTATCATCATCATCATCATCATCATGGTCTATAAGATAGATAAGTGTAGACTGGAGGGAAAGAGAAAGGACAGGAAATGGTGTTAAAAAATAGGAAATGAGTTCAAAGTTGGTATACAGCACTAGATCCATAGAAAGATAAACATTGACAATAATTTAATGATAGACAACCTTTGAATATGAACCTTAATCTAAGCTAGGGATAGTTTCTGAATGAATAATAAATATCACTAGTATAGTAATAATTAATTAACTGTTTTCTTAAATGTTTCATGTTCTTTTCCATATTACTTGTATGCTTTAATTAATTGAATGTTCTTTAAAAACCTGTTGCTATTGTTTAGTGCCATCAAGTTGGTTCGAACTCACAGGAACCTTGTGTAGTGTTTCCAAAGAGTGACTGGTGGGTTTAAACTTCCAACATTGAGATTAACAGTACAGTGCTTATCCTACAGCACCACACCAGGACTGCCCACTGAGGCAAGTGGCTACCCTACATCAAGTATCCTGTCCTGGGATACAAAAGTAAGTAAGTTGTCCAGAGATAAGATGTGTGTCAGATCAGATTCAATCCTGTCTCTCTGTCTAATTGGTACCACTCTCAACATTACTGTTGCTATCCTTGCCTGCATAACCATTATCATATTCACACAATCATGGGATTTTGTAAATTAATCATGGTGAAATAATTATGCCTTCTTAGATCTCAACATAAAGTATAGTAACAAATATGATGCAGGAAAACTGGTAGATGTTGACATCTAGAAGAAGCTTCAGATTCTTCTATGTTTCCTCTGTCTACAACCAAATTCTAAATTCTCCCCAAGGAAAGCAATTTTCAATATATGAGCCACAGACTCTTTTTTCCCCACTGAGCAGGGACCATGCTTCCTCTGTCTTTCATTCCTGGGAATTTAACGTTCTCTTTACACAATGAACATAAAACATGTACGGAATTATATTCTTTTAGGATTTTCTGCTAAAAAAAAAAAGCCAAGGATATACAGATTTGACATTTATGACTTAGGTATCTGAAAATAATTTACTTATCTTCTTTTAGATTGTCTCTACTTACAGATCTTTTGTGTAATGCAGGAGAAGTTACACATTATTACTACAAAATATTCAGTGACTTAATTTTGGTGACTCGATAGTCTAAATTTAGACTAAAATAAAGGAGATGGCCTATAGGTCTAATCCAGAGAAACTGATCCTGAGGTCTCATAACAAAATAGCACACCTTTATCTGGAGTTTTTTCTCTGTAAATAGCTCTTTTGAAGAGTTGTTAAGGAATGACAGGTGTCAGAGGCAAGAAGCTATTTCTGACAGGAGATAATGGAAGTATTTGGAATCCAGGTTTACAAAAATGTCCATAAATCAAATTTAAAAATCATAATATATGTAACACTAATCCATTAAATGGAGTCCTGGTGTGGAGATGTAGAATAAGCACTGGATAGCTAACTGCAAGGTCGGAAGTTCAAACCCACCAGCCACTCCTTGGAAGCCTTATACAGGACCACTATGTGTCAGAAACAACTGACCACATTTCACTGATTCCTACCCCAGGGAGAGACTCTTGGTCTGACTTTGAAACCCAGTGGTGTAATAGAGGCTGAGACAAAAAGCAGAGCAATATGAGCCTTCTAGAAGAGCCATTCAACTTTTGCTACCCCTTCACAATTATAAAATAGCTGACACAACACAGTAGTTGAAGAGTTTAGCTGTCAACGGAAAGGTCAGCAGTTTGAACCCACCACCTACTCCATGGAAGAAAGATGTGGCAATCTGCTTCAATAAATACTATTGTTGTTACTGTTGTTAAATGCCATCAATGTGGTTCTGACTCATAGTGACCATACATAGGATTTACTAGGAGAAATTAGAGGGTTTGAACCACTGACCTTAAGGTTGGCAGTCTAGTACTTATCCTACAGCACCACATCAGGACCCAGTAAAGATTACAGTCTTGGAAACTCCATGTGCAGTTCTACTTTGTCCTATAGACTCACTCACTGTGAGTTGGAATAGACTCGATTGACAACAGGTTTCATTTTGGTTTTTCCAATTTTAAGAGTTGCCATTTTGTAGGGACTAAGGTAAAAGGCTGTTTTTTGGCTAGGCAAGTGCTTAAAAAAAAAAGCCACTCTGTCCATTTTTATAGCTCCTTTTAAAATAAGTCCTTTTCTTTCTTCTTTAAAAAAAAAACAAAAAACAAAACTTAAGTAGAAGCTCTTCCTCCTCTTTTTTACTTGACAAACTGTTCTTGGAATTTAACATTTTTCCACTATTGAAATGATAAAATGCCTGGATTCTGACTAAAAATAAAGAGAAGAAGCTCTGTACTCTCATTTCAGGTTCAACAGAGTTGCTTCTAATCTTGAATAATGGAATACTAAACATGGTTTGGCAAACATTTTTTTTTTTTTTTTTATAATTAAATGTTTTTATTTTGCATTGAGTGAAAGTTTACAGGGCACATCATCAGCTTAACATTCAACCATTCATATAGCTTGTTTCA